CTGGTTCATGCTGGTCCTCCCCGACCTCTGGCTCTCACAGTCTTTCCACCTCACTCATCCTTGGTGGTCCCTGAGCCTTGCAGGAAAAGAATATAATAAAAATGTCCCATTTGTTGCTGGACACTTCATAGACACTTAATCTTTGCTCTTTGACCAGTTGTGAGCTTTTTCTTTCACCACTGTGCACCACACAAACTTCTCTGAGAGCTGCACTAACCTGTTATAGAGATTTGGCTTTATTAGGCAATTTGATACTATGTCCATTTAGCATATGAGCTCCCTAACCTTATACTGAGTGAGTTTACTCAGACCCAAAATGACCGTTTTTTTTTTTGTTTGCACTCATATATAAATCATAGAGTCAGATTTTTTAGTTGTGTGTCTAATTTGAAGGTTCTGTAGAATCTAGCAAACTAAAATGAATTTCAGTTTTTACCTGGGTTCTTTCAGAATAAATTTGCATGATTTATGCACTTTGCTTACTTGTATTGATAGTTTATACCTTTTTATTGATCTAGTATTTCATTGTATGAATATACCAGTTTGTTTATATATAAATTGCCTGGAGAACTTTTTGTTACTACCAGTTTTGGGCTATTACAAAACAACTAGGGAGTATAAATACCTAGGGACTGAAAGAGTTGATAATTTGGTAGTCATATGTAGAAATTTTAGAGAAAAAACTTCCCAGGAATGACTGTAACAGGTTACAGTCCCATCAGCATTGTACGAGTTTCTTTTACTCAGTGCCTTTGTTATATTTAATATGACCACTCTTTAGTTTTAGTCGGTATAATAGGCATATAGCAGTAGCTAATTGCAATTTTAATTTGTGTATCAGTACAGGTGAATAAGATTGACCGTCTTATCATGTGCTTTTCTCCCATGCTTATATCCACTTTGGTGAAGTCTTCTTGTCCTTGTCTATATTATATTGTTCTCTTATTTGACTTTGGAATTCTTTTGTATTCTGGTGCTGCTAGTTTTATGTTAACTTGGCACAGCTAAAGTCATCTAAAAGGAAGGAACCTCAATTGAGAAAAATGCCTCCAAATATCAGTCTATAGGCAAACTTGTATAGAACGTTTTCTTAATTAATGATTGATTTGGGGTAGGAGGTAGACCATTGTAAGAGGGGTTACCCCTGGATTCTATAAGAAAGCAGGTAGAGCAAGCCAGTAAGCAGCACCCTTTGTGGCCTCTGCATCAGCTCCTGCCTCCAGGCTCCCGCCTGGTATGAGTTTCTGCCTTGGCTCCCTCAATAGACTGTGATTCAGGGTATTTAAGCCATTTAATAAACCCTTTCTTCCCCAAGATGCTTGGTTATAATGTTTATTAACAGCAATATTAACCCTAAAACACCTGCATACAAATGTTGTATCAAAATTGTAATTTGCAGAGATTTTCATCCAGTTTTCAAACTTGAAATTATCCTTCCTTAGCCTCATGAGTGCTGAGATTACAGTCACGTACCGTCATGCCCAGCTCTGGGTTCAAGTCCTTTTTATGTGCTCTGTGGTCTACTAAACAATTTGAATTCCTCCTATAATCTCTTGAAAATAGGAATATACTATGTACAATTTATGTGTTTATTTTATTGGTCTTGTTGGAACAGGTTCTCACTCTCTAGCCCACGTTGGCCTTGAAGTCTTGGGAAATCTCTTACTTTAACCTCCCAAATGTTAGGCTTATAGGCACAAATCAACACAATTGGTTGTACTAAGTACTGTGTGCTAATTGTTTCATATTTGCCATTTCTGGTTTTTTGTTTGTTTTCGGGTTTTTTGTTTTGTTTGCGGTTTTTTGGGGGGCAGTTGACTCGGTTAGTTGATTTGTTCCATTTTTGCAGCACATTGTCATGTTGTCCAGGCTGGCCTCCTATTCACTGTGTAGTTAAGGATGACTTTAAACTAATCCTTTTGCTATTTCCCAAGTGTTAGGATTACAGTGCATACCACTACACCTGGGTGTTCTGGACTATTCTTTGACTTTTCTTCCTGTTCTGAGTTTTCTGCTCCTATTTCTTTGCATGCCTGCTCATGTTTGCTTTGTTGTTGTTGTTAAATTTAAACTTTTGGAGGGTTTGAGAATTAGTATGTGAAAACTTTATTTTACATTATGTTTACCCTTCTTTGTTCACAGCAACCTTCTCTTAAATATGTGACCTCCTCTTCCAAAACTATTATTGTTAAACAACACACACAACTTACTGAACCCATCTGATGTAGCTTTTGTGCACAAGTGTTTAGAGCTGACCGTTTGGGACTCCATAACACACCAGGGGCTCTTGTCCTTGGAGATGACTGCCTGGAGCTCTTTGTGTAGATGTGGAAACTTGAAATTTCCCCCTCATCATTGGCATGTGGGCTGGTATATTATCATCATGTAGGTCTTTTTTGGCCACTTACCGTTGCCACAGAGTGCTCCTAATCTTTTGATATAATAAATAGTTTAATATGTACTAGTATTGTATATAAATTACTTCACATGTGTCTGATTAATATAACTGCTGAATCCATTCCCAGAAGTAGATTACAAGGTCAGAGGGTTTATGTCTTTGTGATCTTGGTTCTTACTGCCAAATTGTTCTTCCAAGATTGGTTAGAACATTCTTTCACCAGCCTGTTAGGAAAATCTCTATTAGCCCATAGTTTTATCTGCAGAATGTCAAATATCTGAATTTTTTTATAGTTGATAGGAAGAAAGTGTTGTCCCAATAGAATTTTAATTTTTATTTCTACTCTTAATAGTTTAAGGATCTGTGCTCCAAAGCTATTGGACTTCCTTTTCTCTACTGTCTATTTTAAATTGTTGGTTATTCAGGTTTTCCTTTGATGGTAAGAGTACAGAACTGAAATATTTTATTCAGTGTTTAGTAACTTAAGAATGTTCAGTTGGCATTCAGAAACTATTATTGCAGTTCATAGAATACAGTAAGTCATTATATTCTATTTAATGATTTTAAGGATTTTATGAAACTCCTAGTTCAAAGGCTAGGACAATTGATTTTTTCAGACAGATTTTACCAAAGTAAAACCAGATTAATCTGAGTTTTAGAGCTTGAGGGTAATCTTCTAAAAGCAGTTTAAATAAGCCAAAGAATTAATGCCTTTTGGTAATCCTTTTACATCTGAGTTGGATATTGGCCTTTCTGAACAGGGAAATAAATGTTTGAAATTTAGAAAACGCTTGTAACCTTGCAAAGTATTATCCCACAACCAAGAATGATAAACACCCTCACTTAGGTGACTTGAGGTTTTCCATTCGGTGGGCTTTCTCCAAAAGTAAGAAATATACTGCTATTTTTATAACTTCACATACAGTCCCTTCTCTGCCTCATGTCAAATGCCTATAACTTTTTGCTTGTGTCATTAATCCTTCTTTATCGGTATTATAACCTGTGGACAATTAATTAGGGAGGCAGTGGCTTTACCAAATGAGTGATGTAATGAAATGAACTAGTAGCTTACTTATATTTTAAGTTGTAAGTTAAAAGTTTGTTTTCTTTATGCAATTGAAAAATATACTTTTATTAGAGTTACGCCAGTATGGAGAGGCATCCAGCCCACGTTCGTCAGGTATGATATGTGAGAACATTTTCTGGTATTCCTGTTGTTCTGTCTTAGCCATCAACTAAATTTACCTCGATTAAACTTTGTCATCTTGAATTGTTCATCGCCAGAGCCTTGAGCTGCATGCCAAACTTGTTAGCCACGTGTCACAGTTTAGCAGTCTTAGTATTGTTTGCGTGCTTGCTTCTTAGATACTTCTAAAATTTATCTTAGGAAAATATAGCTTCCTGGTGTGTTTAAGCATTGATTTTATTTTTAAGGCTTTGTCAAGTTATTGCAGATGGTCTAGAGCTTTCTATCAAGATCGCATATACCCAAAAGTTTAAAAATATCTTCCTATGCATCTTTCACATTTGATAGTTTTTTGAGCATACTAATAATACAATATATGTACTTGCACTGTTTGAATATTTTGTTTGTTTTTAGTTGTAGATGTATGATACACATGAAAAATAACATTGTTAGTTTGGCTAATTGTATGCATTTCTGCTTACTAGAATTTTTCTGCTGATTAATGCTGAAATTTTTCTGTACAAAATTTGAATTTCTATAAATATGTATGAAGCATGTCTATTTTAAGAAGACAGTTGATTTAAACTTTTCATCAGATATTAAAAATGGTTAATTAGAATTCAAATTAAATAAGCAGTATGTTGCAAGCTCTGGAGATCTTAAGTAGCAATGTAACTGGCATACTTTTATTAATAAAACAAATTTTAGAGAAATGTGTATGTTTTAATTTAAATTGGAAAATAGTTAAGACCTTTCTAGTATTTTTGTCTGTTAAGTAACTTAATGCTGATCTAAATTTAAGCATAAAAATCATGGTAAGGTAATTTTAAGAAATTATTTTTCTCGTTAGTTTTGGCAAGTGTAACTGATTAAAATACACTATTAGAAGTAAAACTGAGTCATTAATTTTTACGGTTACTGAATATATTTCAGGTCTCACTTAAAGATGACCTTTGTTTTTTTATTTAGACTTCAAGGTGTCTGTGCACTCTCTGATAGGTCAGAAATCCATGCTTTAACTGCACCCACTGTTTCAGGATTTTAATTGCAATGGCATTTACTTAAATTAAAAACTATGCAGTGTTTGTTGGGAAATCAAGTGAAAAGATTGGAGAAAGTGGAATAGAGTGGTTGTCACACTTGTTGGTGTCAGTGTAGGTCTTAAGAGTGGTAGAGCAGTCACAGAAAAGAAAAAGGAGCTTTTAAAATGCACAAAATTGTAATGTACCATACATGTATAATTTTCAATAATACCAAATCATTATATTAATATTCTAATACATTGGTTTTTATTTAGGAGAATAAGTTTTTTGTCTGAAATACTTACTGTCTGTTACAATTAAACCACAGTGGTTTGGTTTCAACATCCAGTGCTTAATGTTACACATAAGGCTTTTTCACTGTGCTGTGTTTTAGGTATTTGTCAAGTGTCATTTTGATTATAATCCATTCAATGATAACCTGATACCCTGCAAAGAAGCAGGACTGAAGTTTTCAAAAGGAGAAATTCTTCAGATTGTAAACAGAGAAGACCCAAATTGGTGGCAGGTTAGTATTATTCTCAAAAATCCCTCAACTGTTTTTTGTGTTTTTAATCTTTGATCTGGCTGGTATCTAAAAGTTTAGGAAGCATTTGTTCTCATGATTTTTCCTGCACGAACAGCTCCTTCTTTATGTCTGTTAACTTTGTGGACAGAAGACCAAATTGAGAGAGAATTTGTGAGTAGCTGTTAATGAAAGCAGACATAACCTGCCTGCGGCACTGCCTCTGGTCTAAGGTGAAGCAGTTCTCTCACATGGGCAGTCGCCTTCAAATATGTTGTACGCCAAGAAGAACCCACTTGGAATCATTGTTTGTCAATGTTTCCTAATCTGTTTTTGCAGTTGTTTATATCACTTGATAAACACAGTGTTCAAAATTGAAGAAAATGACAAATAGAAACCTAAAATCTTTTCCATTCTCAGAGCTGATTATGGTCTCAGGGTGAAAGAAGAAAGGCTCCTGGACCTGGTACCAAATATAAAAGTAACAGTTGCTGGTAACGGGTGTTAACAGTTGTGAATTTAATGACTTATACAGAGGGATGGTCTGCAGGATAAGAACAGCCTCAGTGCAGTGTGCCCTGCCTGTAAATAAAGACACTTTTAGTATTAAGTGCACCATGGTAAGATGACTAAGAAATGGGTTCAGTAAACAGAGTTTATGATTTCAAGAGGTCTTTACTGAAATACTTAGAAGCTTTCTCACTGTACTGCCTATGGCTGATGGTTTCATGTCCCCACCCCCGGCCAGGTATCCCTGCTTTATTTTCTGTGCATGCCACCTCTTAGATCTCTAACCTTTCACCGTCATTTGAGTCTCTTTCTTCATTTTGACAGATTTACTCTAATTCCACTTTTCAAGGTTACTAAAAACTGAGAAATAGATTTTTCTGTCCCTTATAAGGAGAAACACACTAACACTGTGATGTGGGTAATTGCCATTTAAAAATATTACTTGTTTTGGGGCTAAAGAGACGGCTTAGCTTGTTAAGAGTCCTTGCTGCTCTCATGGAGTTCCCAGCACCCATGTTGGGGTTGCTCACAGCCTCCCGGAACTCCAGCTTCAGGAGCTCTGTGCACCTCTTCTAGCCTCTGGGTGCCTACACTCATGTAATCATGCACACAGACACAAACACATAAATAAAATATTTTTACTTTATTTTATTCACTTTGATGGTAAGATACTACTAGATGGTTTACCTGTTTTAAATTCATTACTTTGGTATATGCAGATTCTTATTAGGATGAATTAAAATTTACGTTCTGTATTCCCAGTATCCTTTCTATTGATTTAGCATTGGGAAATAACAACATTCTAGGATTGAGGTTAGTAGTCAATGGCTTGTAAAGGATACTGGATGAGACTCTCCCTTAATACTTCTTTGTATAAAATAGCATTCTTGTTTCCTTTCTTTGACTTTGTCTCTGTCTTTCTCTTTCTCTCCCACCCACCCTCTCCTCCTCCTCCTCCTCCTCCTCCTCCTTCTTCTTCTTTCTCTCTCTCTCTCTCTCTCTCTCTCTCTCTCTCTCTCTCTGAAACATTTACATTCGAGGAGCCTGTGCATTATTGTTAATGAGAGTTTCAAAACATCACTACCAGTTACCATGCATGTGGTTCCTAGTATGGTGGTGTTGAAATGCTTTAACATAGTTCCATGGATTGAAAGGTTATTTTTCTTTTCAAACTAAATTTAAGTGATCAGCAGTTGTCCTACAGTTGTCCTACTTAGTAAACTATTGTCTAAAATTTTGGTCACTGAGATATTAATTTGTTTCTAGGCTAGTCATGTGAAAGAGGGCGGAAGTGCTGGTCTGATCCCAAGCCAGTTCCTGGAAGAGAAGAGAAAGGCATTTGTTCGCAGAGACTGGGACAATTCAGGTGAAGAACTGAACTCAAGAAACAGGCAGGGCTGGGCACACCTTTCTTTGCTTCTTTTTTCTGAATACACAAATCAGTTTATTTGAACTACATGGAGAATTAATCTTGCCTGTGCATCTGCTTTTTCCTCCCTATAGTAAGTTTTGATCTTTTTCTGCCACCTACTGGTAGAGTACCAAAATTCAGTGACAAATTCACCCTTCCCTTAGGAGGTGATTCTTCTACCTCCTCATAAAACATGATTGGGCAATTTAAACTCATATCTTGACGTATCTTCTAAATTATACTGGTCTTGTCTTCCTTCAGGACCCTTTTGTGGAACTATAAGCAACAAAAAAAAGAAGAAGATGATGTACCTCACAACTAGGAATGCAGGTGTGTTTAAAATCCCTTTGAAAGATCAAAATAAGTAGCTTTATCATTAGTTAACTTGTTTTAGTCTCTGAATATGTAATTTGAAGTGAATGCAGTTTATATTAGTGCCATTTACTGAGTCTGGCATGTGAACACATGATAAATGTAATACAAAGAAATTGTTATTTAAGTCCCAACTTGAATATCATTTACAGCAGAATGAAGTTACTAGGATTTATGCTTGTATTAATGCAGGGGGAATGTTATTGTCAATACTTATATAGGGCATTTCGGTATAGTAATGTGTGTGACATTCCTAATGAACAGGGTGACTTTATGAAGGTGTTAGAGTTAGGACTAAGGAGAACTATATGCCACCATAACATTGTCACGTGCATTTTTGCAAAAGTGGCACTGGACCAAATAACTCATCTAATCTAGTGAGAGTGTTATAATAGTCTTTCTCAAATCTTTTAGGTTTTGAATTTTTTGAGAGAAAGTATTTCTATATGTTTAGGCTGGCTTAGAATTCACTAGTAGTGCAGGCTAGCATGAAAACAGTTATCTTCTACTTTCATTAGGTATCTCAGGCCGCCCTCAAACTCTAAATCCTTTTGCCTTTCTCTAAATCTTTCATCTTAAAGAAAGGATCTTGTTTTTTTTTAAAGGAAACGTAATGGCAATCATGATAAGATTGTTTTAAAGTTAAACATATCAAATCATCAAGGTGTATATTTTAAGAATATACAATTCCTATTTATCATTTATGCCTCAAAAACTGAAATGTTTTTTTTAAAAAATCCTCAAATCAAAGGCCTAGGGTGTAGTCATTCCTTAGCATGTACAGAGTACTGAATTCAATCCCCAGAGCTAGAAAGGCAAATAAAAGAAAACACCATCAGACCAATTGGGTGCATTACAGATTTAAACAAAAAAATTTTTTGCATGTTTCAAGAGACAAATGCAAATTAAAGCTACATTGAGATTATCATCCTATACAGAATGGTATGCATTGAGAAAATTATATTCTGGCAGGGATATGGACAAAAAGGAGTGGTTCTGCACTAACAGTAGGAATTAAACTAGTTCAGCCATTGTAGAAATCAGCATAGAATAGAATAGCATTGCCCACATTACACTGTCTCCCCACTCCTGGATATTTACCAGAGGGACTCAGAATAACACCACAGAAATATTCTACATCATTGTTAATTGCACAACAGTTCACAAGAACTAAGTTACGGAACAAGCCTAAGTGGCCGTTAACAGAAGAAATTAAATGTGGTACGTATATATTACAGAATGAAGTTTCTTTTGCAGGAAAATAGATGACAGCTAAAGATAATCTTGTTTAACAATTTAAGTTGGTTTTAGAAACACAAACAATATGTTTTTCTCCTACTTGTGGACTCTAGATTTTATATAGATACATAAAGTCATATATGTACAGTTGACATTAAAGGAAAAGGGAAACTGTCTATGGAAGTAAAAAGAGTGAGAGAAAGGATGAGAAAAGGAAAGGTATCAGGCTGCAAGGAAATGTGCTCAAAGTGCATTGTATGTCTTTCTGAAATTGGCTAAAAATGGAAGCTATCATATTTATTTTTCTTGACTTCAAAGCTACCCCTACACTAGTAATAATAAACACAGCATAAACAATCATACTGAAGGAGAAATTAATTGGTTTAATTTACTATGAAGAAATTGTACAAAGAAGGAATTGTTAAGATAATAAAGTAAGGATGAAGTGTTATTACTGCAGGTAGAGTCAAACAGTGTTGATGGGTGACCTGATAGTTCAGAATCACTTTGGTTTTATTATTCATTAACTATATATCGTTAATTTTTTTTTAGCAAAGTTTGTAATGTTTTCATTGACTTAGTTTATAGGTTGGGGCAATAGTCTACTGAAAATGCTCTTTTCTCCAGCATTTTATGTTATGTATAAATTCTAGGATCTCGGTGTTTAAATATGAGGGTGCTGTCACTGGAGCTGGCCTGCTCAGCCTGTACAAGGGAAACAGCCAAGCAGGTGTCCTCTGTTCTCTCTACTTCACACACACTTTTTAATGTAAATTGCATAAACGGTAATTTGATTGATGTTAAGGTAGTCATTTCTACTGACAAATTGCTGATAAGAAGCCTTTAATGTGTAGAGTATTGATAAATACACATGAAACTCAAGAATTTTCTTGCATAGTAAATTAATGTCTAAGGGCAAATGAGTGGATACAAACATTTAAATCAAGATATAAAATAATTTTCTGTGCCCTACTAAATTTGTAAGAACAAGCCTATGTCAGACATGCACAAATCAAGTGATAGTTAACTATCAAGACAAGAAGACCATTAGCATGCAGAATACTGAGATATCTTTCTGTGTATATAAAGTATAACTGACTATAATGTTGTCCCATTACTTTCACATTTAGAGTTTGATCGCCATGAAATTCAGATCTATGAGGAAGTAGCAAAAATGCCACCCTTCCAGCGAAAAACATTAGTGTTGATAGGAGCTCAAGGTGTGGGCAGAAGAAGCTTGAAAAATAGATTCATAGTGTTGAATCCTGCTAGATTTGGAACAACCGTGCCATGTAAGTCTTGTCTTTCCATTTGTTGGCCAGAAAATGAGTTGGGTATATGGAGAAAAGGATTTTTATTAACTAACATTAATTGTAGGTAAAATGTGGTTCTGCCAATGAGCATGGAGAGTAGACAGTACTGAGAATCCACATGGCCCTGTCACTGTCTTCGGTAGTGTGATGGCTGCTGTTCAGCAGTAGGCGCATCTGTACACTCTTCATTCCAGAAGCTAAAGGCAAATGCATGCATTTAAAAATTGTGGCAAATTACATGTATTTGGATTTTCTTGTGTAACTGTTACCCATCTATTTGTATTTTTTACCCAGTATAGTATATTTAAAAGGAGAAAGCCTACTAGGTACTCAAATATTCAGTAAGGCAGTAGCTTTGTGAATTTAGGTAGTCTGGTACAAATTGCATCTCTTGGCCCTGCAGGTTCATAATAAACCTGATCCTTTGAAATCAAGTCCTCTACAGGAGACAATATTTGTTAAACTTACTGAGACTATATGTAATAATGCTGATGAGAAATAGAACCATCTAGGATCAGACAAAATTTGTAATCTTCATTTTCACCTATCTTTTGCATATTTACATAGAAAATTTAGTGATGTCAGAGATGGCATAGGTGGAGAGTTCAGATAATCACTGATGTTATAATGCTTGCTGCACATTTGACAAGAAGCATGAGCAAGTGGCCTGGTAGGAACAACTTAATGGAAGAGAAGAATTTATTTTCTGAAATTTTCCTCGACTCTTTTGCTGTTAGACTGGCTCATGGTAGGGTGGAACACCATGGTAGCAGGAGTATGTGGAAAACGAGATGGCTCAAATCATGTTAAATAGGAAGCAGAGAATAAGGAAGTTAACCAGAACCAGGAATAACCTTCCAAGCCATGCTCCCAATCATCAGCTTTCTTCTCTGACCCAGTTCCGCCAATGGGGGATAGTTCATATTCCAACCGTAGAGCACTGTGGCCTCTTCACTCCCACAAAATCCTATCGCCTAAAGCTGATTTTAGTGTGCTAGGACTTAGGGTTTATTTGTATTAGTTTCATTTTCGCTTATTTGAGATTTATTTTTCTATTATTGTTTATTAGGTGTGACTCTGTGTATACATTGGGTACAATGTGAGTGTAGGTGCCACAGAGACGAGGCACAGAACACCCCACTCCTCCCAAGTTGGAGTTACAGACAGTTGTGAGCTTCCTGGCAGAGTGCTAGGAACTGAACTCAGATCCTGTGGAAAAGTCTCAAGTGCTCTTAACTTCTGAGCCATCTCTATGGTCCCTAGTTTTCGTTTTAGTTTTTAAAATATTTTATTTTTTACTCAGTAGCATCTTCCCTTTCAGTGTTTTCACATATGTTTCGTTTGGGTTGCCTTCCTCTTGAGCTGTCCCATCTCCCTGCTCGTCCTCTCCACTCACACCCTCTGCCCTCAGTGTTCGGTTCCATTCTCACCATATGTGTGCTGTTACCCTCCCCGTGTCCTTCCTTACACACTTTTCTCCCCTTGTGTCCCTTTTCTAGTTTCATGACTTCTGCCCTCACACATTACCACAGAAAATACACATATGCACACATACAACCACACAACTAGGGTTGCAAACCCTAGTTTGCATGAGGAACATGACGTGTTTATCTTTCTTAGCCTGAACTACCTCATTTTAATATCATTTTCAATTCTATAAATTTTCTTGCATATGTCACTTTTCTTTATAACCAAATAAAATAAAATTCTAGTGGTATGTGTGTGTACATTATTCATTTATTAGTTGAAGGGCATGTAGGTTGATTCCATTTCTTTGTAATTTTTTAATAGAGCAATAAACATTGATAACAGAGTCCTTTGGATACATGCCTAGAAATGGTCTGCCTGTGCCATATGCTAGTTGTGTTTATGGTGGTGGTGGTGGTGTGTGCGTGGATATATTAGGCTTCATGTAGTTGTATGCACATGCAGATGTTGCACAAAAATTGATGTTGCTTATCTTCTTCTTTTGCCCCCTTCCCTCACTTTTGAGATATAATCTATCACTGTACCTGGATCTTACTGTTTTGAATAGGCTGAAGAGCAGTGAACTTCATGAATCCGTCTGGTTCTGCATCCCACTGCACCCCTGTCACCTCATCTCTCAGACAAGCCCCAGTATTTTTTTTTTCAAATGTGTATGGCTTTTTTTTCTCATGCATGTGTGTTCATCACATGCTTGCCTGGTACCCACAGAGGCCAGAAGAGAAGAGGATATTGGATCCCTGGAACTGGAATTAAACCTAAGTGGTTATGAACCATGATGTGGTGCTGAGGATTGAACCCAGGTCCTTTTAAAGAGAGTGGTTAAGAGTGCCCTTAACCACTGAGTCATTCTCTATCCTGGTGCCCAGCTTTTATGTGGGTGCTAAGGAACCAAACTTGTCTGACAAGCACCTTACGGGCTGAACCATCTCCTTATCCCATTGTAAGTTTTTTGCAGCCCTCAACGCTGATTTCATAATGATTGCACCAGTTTGCACTCCCACCAACAGTGAGAAAGGATTCTTCCTCCGGACCCTTACCAGCATTGGCTACCATTGCTCTTGATGGTAACCATTCAGACCAGGGTGAAACAGATCTCAGAATAGTTCTAATTTGCATTATTCTGATGATTGAGAATATTGAACACTTGTTAAAAATATTGGTCATTTGTATTTCTTCTTTGAAGATTGTCTTGTATCTCATTAGTACATTTATTGTTAGTGGGGTTGTTGGTGGTTCATTTTCACAGTTCTTCATATGTATAATCTGAAGTGTATCTGGCAAAGATTTTATCCTGTTCTTCTCATAGTTTCCTTTATTATGCAAAAAATTAAAATTATTTTAAATTCTTGGATCTATTTACTATGCTGTAGGGTTTTTCTCTTCTGAACATTCTAGATCATTCCTGTATCTCAAAGTATATTCACTGTGTTTTCCCCTAGCAGTTCCACCATTTCAAATTTTAAGTTAAGGTCTTTGGTCCACTTTGGATTTCTTTTTTAGGATAAGAAATACTGATCTAATTTCATTCCTCTGCAGGTCGATACTCAGTTTTACAAGCATCCTTTACTATCTTTTTTCCACTTTATGTTTTGATACCTTTGTCAAAAATTAGGTGTCCATAGCTTTGTGGGTTATTTCCGGTACACTGGTATATTCCGTTGGTCTGTTTTTATGCCAGTACCATGCTATCTTTGTAACAGTGGCTCAGTAGTATAGTTGGAAGTCAAGTAATTAGATTCCTCCAGCTATGTTCATTCTGTTTGGAGTTGTTTTGGTTATCCAGAGTCTTTTCTGTCTCTCTATTTGAGGATTTTGTTTCTAGTTCTGTGAGGCATATTACTGGAGTTTTTATGGGGATGCATTGAATATGTGGATTATGTTTGTAGAATTTCTACAGTACTGCTTCTGCTTGTCCAGAAGCAGGTCTTCCCATTGTCTAGCACTTTCTTCGATTAGTTTTTCATTTTGGTTTAATAGAATTCTTTTCCTTTGAATTATTCATCTTTTCTAAATTAATATATATATATATCATATTAACAAAGCTGGTTCAGTAATAATAATGTTCTCAGAAACCAGAATTGTGTTTATGTAATCTCCAGCCTTCTGCCCCACATCTTTATCTCCTTCTACCATATTTAACTATTGCTATCCAGAGTTCTCAGTTTACTTCCTCCTCAGTACCTCCACTCACACAAAATTCACATGCCGTTCTCTTCATACATCCCGTCATTGTGAGTGGTTTAATATGTTCACAGAGTTGTGCAGTTGTTTCTGTTGTCACATGATTTCTGCAGAGTCCTAGTAACATTCCCCTCTATCATCCTGAATTTAGTAAATTCTTCCTTAAATATTTGTCAATTTTGTTATTTTTAGAAAAATTTTTAAATGTTCTTAATTTTCTGTATTTTTCTTTCATGAATTTTATTAGTTTAGTCTTATTTCCTCTTTTCTATTTGCTCTCTGGGTTAGGTTCTCTTTTCCCAGTTATCTGAGGTAGGAAGTCAGCTTACTCTCTAGAGGCTTCCCTTTAACAGACAGATTTATGTTAGAAATTTCTCAGTAGACACTGCTTTATTTCATCTTGTAATTTTGTTGTACTTTTAAGTTTTTATTTGCATTCATCTAATTCACTTATAGTTTTAGAAATAGATAAATGTAATGAAAAAATTTTTCTCTTCACAATGATCCTAGAGACTTAAAACATCGTCTGACAGTTATGCAGTACAAATCAATTATGCAACCTTCTTTCTTCCTGATCTTACATGAAAACAGTCACTGATACTGATACCTTTTTGATCAAATGAAAAAGTAGCAGTTGCCTAGTTTGGGGTGCCTTCTCTCTGACACTCCTGTTCATTGTTAATAAGTCTGTCCGTGTAAGCTATCAGTAGGCTTCAATCAGTCTACTGATTGAAGGTTTCTTTACTCCTTGAAGCTAACCATAGAGCTGACAAAGGTCTCCACAGCTATGGTAGCTGAACCTTATATACTTTTTCAGAGCAAAGACAAAGAATGTGCTCACCGGCAGCAAGCACCCAGGAGGACTCTGCCTTTAAAGCAGCGCCATTTTCATCTCAAAGTATTTGCTAATCTTACTTGTGATTTCTCATTTTACCTATTTTGAAGTATATCATTTAATTTCATACATTTTTTTATTTTCCAGATTTTCCTGTTAGTAATGATAATTCCATTCACTGTGTCCAGAGAGCATTGTGATTTTACTCCCCTTAAACTCATTGGAAATTGTTTTATGGTCTCAGATTTGTCTTGGAGAATGTTCCTTATTCTTGTACACTTGGGAAAATGCATTTTTCCTATTGTAGACTGGAATGCTATATAGATATTCTGTCTAGCTGGTCTGTAACGTGGTTCAAGTTTTCATTTCCTTATGACATTCTGTTTGTTTTCTCCATCACCGGAAGCCTTGAGGTCTCCTGCTCTTTTATTGACTTGTCTGTTTCTTCAGTTCTGTTTTGCTTCATGTTTTTGGA